TCTGGACACAGGTACAAATTTTCCCTTGACAGTACTCTCCATGATGGATTCTCAGCACAGTTCTTAACACGTAATTTTTACAAATTACCCAGCAATCCCAGTGGCCCAGCCCTGACCGCATTTCCACGACTTTTTTGTTTATCGGTGTCCGTGATCCGATTACCATGTAATTCCCAGCGACTTCTCTTTTCAACTCAAAAGCCACGTATGTCTGGTGTGAGTTTGGTGTTGTTCAAATAACGTCAACATTTTCAGAGTTGGCGGTGGCCTGTGAGGTCCCGGCGGCTTGCGTGCATTATAAGCTACGCTCAAAGGAGACCATGTGGGTCAAGAGACGTATTGTTCCCATCACTGGAACAAATTCTATGTAATTGATGAAGCGACACAAAGGCAGGAAGTCAGCGTGCAGCAATTTATCAATGTCTACTGGCACTGGCAGCTGACATCTTACTTGGGGTTGTGCCAGGAATGGACAGATCTACTACAATTACTGTGACCACTCTGTATCTGCAAACTGAACTCCACACCCTGAAAATGCAATAAATAATATTGGTGACTGGTCTTGGGAACTAATGTTAAAACTTAACCAGTTTCTTTGCAGGGAGGCAATAGCTATTATGCAGTTTACGGCTTGACATCCCCCAAAATGCACCCCCTCCCCATTACATCATACTCATTGCCAGCACATTGTGTATAACAGGTACTGCTCCTAGTTTCTTATGCTGGCAATTCAAAGGCTATGCATGGTGACCAGTTAAGGTGCAAAGGATATTTAGTTGGCGCCACTTTCAAAGGAAACCAGTCGTGGCTTAAATACAGAGGCTTCAACCACTGCTTCTGAAAATGCTAGTTGTCATCTTGCTGATCAACTGTCTTTACTATCTGCACAAGCATACAGATATGGTCCTCTGACTTGTCTTATCTGTTGACCTGTCCTTGGACTCAAATGTATTGAATGCAGAGAGTGATCAAGGTGGTCCGGCAACAGTTTTTTTTTTCAGGAGGTCAGAAATTACATCTGTATAATTATTTCCAAAGGTGTTTAATTATTAAATCTACCTTAAAGGTGTAACTGAGGTGCATATTTTTTTTTTAAATTAATCTAATCCATGTGCTGTTTGTGGCACATTTTCACTATATAGATATTTGCCAGCATATGCTCCCTGGATTTATATAACATATAGGACCGCAGCAGGGGAAAAAGGCATAGGGTGAAAATAAGGTCTCTTTCACGCTGATGTACACTAAAATGCAGCTGTAAACCACACCAAAAACGCAATAAAAATATTTTCCTTTAAATCCAATGGAATCAGTGGTGCTTTGAGTGCAGTGCATTTTGAAAGGTCCTGCATGCTGCATTTTTGGTGCCCAGACTCAAAAATTAACTTTCCATGGATTTCTATAGGAAATGCACCAAAAACACATCTGTGGTGCATTTTTGGTGTGGTTTTTGAGTCACATGTCCAAGTTTCACAGGTGCATGGGAGTCAGGAATCCAGAAAACTCAACAAAAATGCATAGAAAATGCTTTAAAAATGCATACTGCCTTTTAAAGCGGAACTTTACCCATGACAACTTGATAAAAATTGTTTTTTTATCAAGGAACATTTCGCATTAATAATTATGCTACCAAAATTAATGTGTGCTGTAAATTGCCTCCAGCATTGTTCCTGTTTCTTCTTGCTGGAGGCTGCCATTTTTCTGAAGCCCAGAGCCCCTGTGTAGCGGTAAACCTTTAGGGCTGTTAACACATTGGCCTCTACGGTTTCTGCACAGTGCTGAAAAATAGAGAGCAACTGAGCATGTGCAGATATGGGTGAGACAGTGTATATTATAGGATTTTAAACAGAATAGGCACTTATTTTAATGTTTTACATAGCTATACCTGGAAAAGGTTTCAGGCTGAAGTGATCTGCCAAGACTTCATTTCCTGACTACAGTTACACTTTAAATGCACCAGTGTGATCTCAGCCAAACTTTAATTTTCAGTGCCTAGCTTGCTGCAATTATAAATCACAGGTCAGGCATCCCGCTTAACTGGCTGCCTACTTGTTCCAGGTCTGCAATTCAGAAATTATTGTAGCCAGAGCCAGCCTGGGGACTAGCATTTTCAAAAGCTGGGAAGCAATGGCAACTCCTGTATTATCCTTACTGTAGCTTTTCTTTACCATGGAAAGGACTGGAGCAATAATTAAATAAAGAAGCAAGGCAGAGCAAACTGTGAACTGTCAAGACTCATACATAATTTATATGTTTAGCAGGCTTTTCACAAGCCCTCTTCAGCCAACTGTCACATAAATCTGTAGAATGTAGCTTCCCTCTCTAGGAGCTATGTAGTCTGCGCTAGAACCACAGAACACTTGGCTTGAATTTTGGAAGGTTTATAGGCTCAAGTCATGTAGGAAGCCAGGAGGCTGCCAGCTGCAGGGTTTGCAGTGAAGATGAATAGTTAAATGATGGGACTAAATCCACTTGGGAGGTAAGTTGGGTATGCGGAATAAATAATATTCAAAAACTTTGGCTGAAGTGTTTTTTTAATTTGATTGGGATGTCCAGATAGATTTTGACTTGGTGTGGCTAGACCCTACAGCTGTTTCACATTGTCAGTTTTTGTGCAGGATCTTCATTTCTCCTACTCTTCTAAATTTCTTTTTCAAGTGTACAAGGGAAAACACATACCGTAAATGGAACACAGCCAGGGTGTGCCTGACATGGACATGATATTCTGGCCTTTATCGGCAGGAATATGTGGCAGGTCAGAACTCTTTGTTTAAATATAACGTGCTGATCTAGTAAACACTCCCTCAGCTTCATTGAGCAAGCACAGATAGATCGTGGGCCCCCTCATCAAGCTGAGGCATCAGACACTCTATAATTCTGGTTTTTATTGAGGCAAATTATACTGTATCTACTCCCTTTAAAGGCTTTTTAATTTTTAAAGATATAACATACTGTGATTAGCTATTGTGAAATCATTATCAATGTGTGTTACTGGTTTTAAACCTTTGTTTGTAACTATAGTTTATAATTATATATGGACATGGGGGTGGATTCAGAGGGATTCTAATGTGCCTCCCACATGTTTAAAGCAGAACTCTGAAAAAAAATTATTTACATGTCCTTGTTGCTCATTTCCTCATCCATCTTCTGGTTCACTCAGTAGTTGCTTTGAAAAAGCCTATTCGTTTTCAGATCAGATAGCTAATTCTCTATGGTTTCCCCTTTGTAAGACCTGTGGCTGCTATGCCTCCTATTCCCCCAGCCACTAGTCTTGGTACATCCCTTCTGTAGTTTTTTCTACAGGAAGCAGTGCTGTAACTCAGCCTCACTTGCTGTGGTGGGCAGACCGAAACTCTCAGACACACTCAACATGTACAGGCCTAGTGTACCGGTCCACATTCACTACAATTCCTGTGGTTGATGGGAACTGTAGTTTCCTTTTACTGCAGAGAAAGAGGAGAGGATATGATGTAATCCCTGCTGTTACACCTCCTCCTTGGCAGATGCTGTTATTTTTTGTATTACTGAGATGAGGTCATGACAATTCAATCAGACTTTTCTCCTAAATGGTAAGGATTCTCAATTTTTTTAACTGTTTAGTGTTTTGTGTAGGGGGGTTTACTAATGGGTGATTTTTTTGCCTATCCCGGAGTACTTCTTTAAGAAGGTTTTCAGGAAGAATTGAGTATGTGTAATCATCAGCAGTTTGTAACAGAGATGCTACAGATGCCAAAGCTTGCATACCCCCTTCCTTTCACTTACCATTTTGATTGATTCCCTGGGGCAACTCATCAACATATTCAGAACTAGAGCATATTTCAGCAGGTACCAAACATATTTATTACTGTGCATTTTACACATGTTTACACCGTTATACTGAGTGTTCAACTGAATCTGGAGTTCTTCCAAGATTTTCAGCACTCTATCTCCCACCCTGAAGCATCATAAGGAAAGCTCCTATTAGCTAATGATAGTTAACGTTGTTGTAAACTTCAGACATGAAATATGGACAAAGAATATCCCTCTGTGTTCGCGTCTCAATCCAAAGCATTAAGTGTCATTTCTGTCTGCTGCTTTGTTCCTCTGATATCAGCATGAGTCACTTCTGCTAAGTTTTCCTGACACCAACAGAAAAATGGTGATGGTGAGGGAGCTCCAGCAGATTTACAACTTCAGCTCTGTTCCTGTGTGCTGTGTGGAGGGGAGTGTGTCTCTTCCCTCCAATCAGATCTCAGAGCTCTCCTCGCTGAGCTTTGCAAAGTGTAACTTCAGCTTTCTGTCCCCTGTTTTCTGAGCTCTCAGACAAGCTTTATACATTCAGCACTTTGAATGGATGAGAGAAGAGATGGTGGCAGATAAACAAGTACCATATTTTTTGCTCCATAAGATGCACCTGACCATAGGACGCACCTAGGTTTTAGAGGAGAAAAAAAATATTCTGAACCAATGGACTGCAGACATAGTACAGGAGATGACCAGAGACTGCGGACACAGTACAGGAGATGACCAGAGACTGCGGACATAGTATAGGAGATGACCAGAGGTTGCGGACACAGTACAGGAGATGACCAGAGACTGCGGACATAGTACAGGAGATAACCAGAGACTGCAGACATAGTACAGGAGATGACCAGAGACTGCAGACAGTACAGGGATGACCAGAGACTGCGGACATACTACAGGAGATGACCAGAGACTGCGAACACAGTACAGGGGATGACCAGAGACTGCGGACAAACTACAGGAGATGACCAGAGACTGCGAACACAGTACAGGAGATGACCAGAGACTATAGACATAGTACAGGGGATGACCAGAGACTGCGGACATAGTACAGGTGATGACCAGAGACTGCGGACATAGTACAGGGGGATGACGAGAGACTGCGGACATAGTACAGGGGGATGACGAGAGACTGCGAACATAGTACAGGAGATGACCAGAGACTGCGGACTTAGTACAGGAGATGACCAGAGACTGCGGACATAGTACAGGAGATAACCAGAGACTGCAGACATAGTACAGGAGATGACCAGAGACTGCAGACATAGCACAGAAGATGACCAGAGACTGCAGACATAGTACAGGAGATGACCAGAGACTGCGGACATACTACAGGGGATGGCCAAGAGACTGCAAACAGTACAGGGGATGACCAGAGACTGCGGATAGTACAGGGGATGACCAAGAGACTGCAGACAGTACATGGGATGACCAAGAGACTGCAGACAGTACATGGGATGACCAGAGACTGCAGACAGTGCAGGGGATGACCAGAGACTGCAGACAGTACAGGAGATGGCCAGAGACTGTGGACCTTTGGGGAGGGAGGGGGAGCGGGTACCTGAGTTTGACAGGTACCCATTCCTACTTCCGCGGAGTTGTCCTCCCTTTAGTGTGGGCACTCGGCTGTGATAGCCAGGTGCCCACTGCACATGCGCGAGAAGCGCTGCGCTTTGTGAATGGCCCGGTGTCTTCTGGGACACATGACAGGTCCCAGAAGACCCTGGGCCATTCAAAAAGTGTATCGCTTCTCGTGCATGTGCAGTGGGCACCCGGCTGTCACAGCCGAGTGCCCACACTAAAGATGCCGGCGCGGGGAAGATTGTATAGCGCTGGACCGAGGAACATGTAAGGTCCTGCTGCAGAGAAGAGCTGAGTGGCTGGCCCGGTATTCTGACACGGTGTCGGCGGCAGAAATGCCGGACCGGCCGCTCCATATTCACTCCATAAGACGCACTGACATTTTCCCCCCTTTTTTGGGGGGGGGGGGAGTGCGTCTTATGGAGCGAAAAATACAGTTCATCTTATCTACGAGGTTGTCATAATTGATCACATGTGCAGCACCATGACAACTGCAGATCAAACAGAGGCTAAGATGGAAGCTTCCTTGGCTAGAGTTTAGTTCCACTTTGTGCTTATATTTTATTCCCCCATCCCAATGTATATGAACTCCATATTTGTATGAGTTTGGTCCGTGAATCCAAGATGGATTTAGAATATGGGCCCAATTTAGATGTACACTGTGCACTGCAGTGCAACACTATTCCTCTCTATACTGTGTATAGAGCATTGCAGTTCTCCAAAATAGCATTGTGTGCAATTTACTTATTTTCTGCAGTTCAGCAATATAGATTTTTTTTTCCAGCACATACTGCTTCTTTATATTTGTATTTATTTAGTTGTTCCCTAAGCAAAGGCTGTAATGTTTCTGATACAAAAGACAGAACAGTTTTTTTTTGTTTTTTTTTTAATGAACCCTTGAAACGGAAAACATAAATTCTTACAACAAACAAATAAAACCTTTCAGACAGCTTCTTAGAAAACTTTACCAAAGTTTGAAGTGTCTGTCTCTTAAGAATTTTAAATGTCATGAAATCATTCTTTCCGCAACTGCAAAAAAAAAAAGCTAAATGTTTATTTTTGTGGAAATATCACATAACGCAGTTGCTTTTATTAACCAAAGAGTAGAAAATTAAACAGCGGGAAATCCTTTCCAACATGAGCAGGAAAGCTTTAGCGGAGCTGTGTTTCTGGAAACCATTAATGTATGGATCGAATGGCATTGATTATCTTCAAAGAGGATTTCATCTTTCACGATCCTGAGAAACTCAACATGTCAGCTGTCTATAAATGTAATAGCAGAATGATGTGATGATCAGCAGAGATTCCAAAGTCTGCCCACTGTTGTGAAACGGAAAACTTCAGCATAACGCACCATCCTGAGACTTATAGTTCCACCAGGGCTGGAGTCTTAGAGACAAAGACAAAACTTTATATTTTAGTTTGGATGTCCCTGCTGGTAAAGAGTCTACCCTCTATTTCACCTGGTCACCATTGTCATCAGCACAGAAAGCAGGGCTTTTTTTCTCAGAGAATAGGTGCTGGAACTACCCCATTGTCTCCAACCCCTTACCCACCTCTGCCCACCGTCCCTTTGTTCCACCCCCTACCCACCTCCCAGTACCACCTCTGTTAGAAAATATAGAACCAAGTATTATTCTATGGTGCTAAGTAATTTGTATGGAATTTAAGGACAGCAAAAAAAAGCAATAAATTAGACCACTACAGCATCAATAAATCCTCCACCACCAACATTAGACCCCACAGCAACAATAGAACCCCCCACAACTATGAACCCCCCCCCCCAACAATGGACCGCCCGCAAAAAAATTCCACCCCCAACAACAATAGATCCACCCTAGCAACAATAGGCCTCCAGCAACAACAACAGATCCCCTAGCAGGCAGCAATAGATCCTCCTCCACCAACATTAGACCCCACAGCAACAAAACCCCCAACTATGGACCCCCCCGCAACAATGGACCCCCCGCAACAAAATTCCACCCCAGCAACAATAGATTCACCCTAGTGACAATAGGCCTCCAGCTACAAAAACAGATCCCATAGCAGGCAGCAACAATAGACCCTCCAGCAGCCAGTATCAATAGACTTCTCCCTCAACAGTAGATCGCTCCCAGCAACAACTGATCCCCTCAGCATCATAAACCCCCCTCAGTAACAATTGATTCCCAACAGCAACAATAGACCTCCCCAGCAAAAATAGACCTCTCACTAGCATCAATAGACCCTCCATCACTTGCTATTAACATACATTCAGTGCTGGAGGTACCATTCACACAATATGTGTTGGCCAGTTCATAGGCAAGGCATTTTCCTTATTTCCTATTGTTTTAACAGTCACTGCCCATCAGCTACCTGTCCTCATGCTGATAACCTGTTGTTTCTGAGAATGTGTATACCATATCTCCCAACTGTCCCTGATTTCAAGGGACTGTCCCTGATTTGGAACAAAGTCCCTGATTTGGATCAAAGTCCCTCTCTCCCTTTTTCCTCATTTGTCCCTCATTTTGGTCTGATCTATGTAGTTGTGTATAGAATGCACTATTTATCTTTTAAAAAGTGTTTCACAGTGCTACATCTTTCATCCAGTTTCTAAATTGTGGCATTTGTAACTTTCATAAGCCAGTATAAAGGAATAGTAGTGGTGAAAAAAAAAGTACTTGTAGGTTTAGCTAATCTTTTTTTTTGTCTAATTGTCCTTTAAGGGGGCGTGGCAGGGTGTGTGTCCTAAGTCTACATGCATTTGTTAATAGGTGTCCCTTATTTTCATCTCAAAAATTTGGAAGGTATGGTATACAAGTATCAGATAGTTATTTGTCACTGTTAGATATCAGCATGGGATCAGGCAATTGCAGGCAGCAACTGTAAGGCTCCATGTACACGGGACGTTTGGAAAACACTTCTGAACGATGGAAACTGACTGCTGGAAAACGTAGGTTAAAAAAACGTCAGTTTAGCCGCGTTTGCATACCGCATTTATGCGCATTTATGAGCATTTGCATTTAGAAGCGTTTTTAAAGATAACCTCAGGAGACCTTCCAAAATGCCCAGAATGCACTAAAAAACAGTAAAAAAATCTACTATTTCAGACATTTTGAGAGAGCACATTTTTTTTTTTATAAATATTTATTAATTTTTCAAATCATATACAAAACATGTCAACATTTCTATTATTAAAATAGTTATCAAAACCGTATTTTCCTCCTTATATAATTTATTTATATATAACTTCCTTTTCTTACCCCCCCCCCCCCCCCCCCCCCCCTCTATCCCCCTATCCCCTCCTTCCCACACTCCACATTTTCTCTTTTCTGGTTAAGTCTATATTATTCTGTTATTTCCTAAACCCAATTTCTAAACCCACTTCCAGGTATGTTATCTCTCTCATAACTTTCGCATTTTCTCTGTATTCTCCCCAACCTTTCCATTTTTTATTATACATCTCCAACTTGTCCTCATGCGTATAGTACAATCTTTCTGTCCCTGAAATCTGATTTACTCTACCCATCCAATCCTCCTCAGTTGGCACCTCTCTTTTCTTCCAGAACCTGGGTATCAGGCTCTTTGCTGCGGTCAAGTAATGCCATATCCCCGAACTCTTATATGCTTTCACCGAGAGTTCTGAGATATGGAGGAGACATAATTCTGGATCTAATCCTATTTTGATTTTGGTAATTTTCCCTATCAAATAAACTATCCTCCGCCAAAACACCTGTATTTCTGGACACTCCCACCACATATGATACCACGTGCCCACCTCTCTCCACAACCTCTCCAACACATTCATGAAATTTCCGTATTCATCTTGTGCTCCACGTTAGGGGTAATGTGCCATCTATTCAAACACTTATAATTTATTTCTACTTCCCCTCATACTAATATTTTCGTGAATTAGTGTGAGCATTTTCCTCTGCTCCTCCTCCTCTATTTTTCTTCCCATATCTCTTTCCCATTTCTCTATGTGCATTAATTTTGTGTCAGTGTCAAGTTCCATTAATATCTTGTGTATTTTTTGCCATTCCGTGTCTTCCATTTCCCCATGACTCAAATATTCTCTCGAAAGGGTTCCAGTCTTTTCTAGTTCTTATAGGCTTTGGGAGGCTCTCAAAAAAGTACTTCAGTTGGTAGTATCTTAATCTATCCATCTTATTAAAGACTTCTCCCTTTTCTTTCCTCCATATCCTTATATGACCCCGATTTCCTCTCCTACCATTATGTCTCTCAATTGCGCCTCCTGTTTTATAATCCATTTCCCTGCTATACTATCCATGCCCGGGATGAAATATTTTGTGTTCCTAAGTGGTATTAGTTGTGAATTAAAAACTCACCCCTTTTGTCTATGTAGTAAATCCCATTCTTTTAAAGTGTTAAGAGTGTACATGCTAGTGCTCTCCTCTAATTCCCTATATTGTGCAGGTACCCAAATACTTTTACTTAAACTTATTCCACTCAGTGCTTTCTCAATTTTAACCCAACTTTTCTCCGGATTATGAATCCAGTCAAAGATTCTCGCGATAATCCCCGCTCTATAAATATCTCCTAAAATCTGGTACTCCCAATCCTCCTCTCTCTTTACTTCCAGTCAACGTCTCATACCCTATTCTAGGTTTTTTATTTCTCCATATATATTTTATTATCATTTTCCTAAGTTCTTTGAAATATGCCTCTGGGAGTTTGATTGGAATCATTTGAAATTTGTATAATACTTTGGGGGACAATTACCATCTTTATCAGGTTTATGCGCCCTATCCACGATGGATTTCCATTTCCCACCCTCCTCAGCTCCTCCTTGATCTCATTTAATAATGCTAAATAATTGGCTTTATATAGGTTCTTAGTTGAGGCTGATAGTTTTATTCCAAAATATATTTTAATTCTTCATCTCTCCAAAGGAAAAGGAAATTCCTCTTGTCCTCTAGTCCTAACGCTTCCAGGGTATCCATCATAAAACCCCAACTTACTCTGTCAAATGCCTTCTCAGCATCTATCGACATCAGTATCATTGGGGTTTTCCCTTTTTTACCCTCCTGCATGAGCAACAATGATCTCAGAGCATTATCTCTACCCTCTCTCTTCCCGGGACAAACCCCACCTGATCTCTGTGTATCCACTCCGGCATCAGTTTCTTTTAATCTATTTGCC